ATTCTAACATTTTTGGCTCTATACACCACCACAATGGATTTGAAATGAAACGAACAAGATGTGCTTTAACTGCAGACTGTCAGCTTTAATTTGAGGGTATTTACATCCAAATCAGGTGAACGGTGTAGGAATTACAACAGTTTGCATATGTGCCTCCCACTTCTTAAGGGACCAAATGTAATGGGACAGAATAATAATCATAAATCAAACTTTCACTTTTTAATACTTGGTTGCAAATCCTTTGCAGTCAATTACAGCCTGAAGTGTGGAACGCACAGACATCCCCAGACGCTGGGTTTCATCCCTGGTGATGCTCTGCCAGGCCTCTACTGCAACTGTCTTCAGTTCCTGCTTGTTCTTGGGGCATTTTCCCTTCAGTTTTGTCTTCAGCAAGTGAAATGCATGCTCAATCGGATTCAGGTCAGGTGATTGACTTGGCCATTGCAGAACATTCCACTTCTTTCCCTTAAAAAACTCTTTGGTTGCTTTTGCAGTCTGCTTTGGGTCATTGTCCATCTGCACTGTGAAGCGTCCAATGAGTTGTGAAGCATTTGGCTGAATATGAGCAGATAATATTCCCGAAACACTTCACAATTCATCCGGCTGCTTTTGTCAGCAGTCACATCATCAATAAATACAAGAGAACCAGTTCCATTGGCAGCCATACATGCCCACGCCATGACACTACCACCACCATGCTTCACTGATGAGGTGGTATGCTTAGGATCATGAGCAGTTCCTTTCCTTCTCCATACTCTTCTCTTCCCATCACTCACAAGTTGATCTTGGTCTCATCTGTCCATAGGATGTTGTTCCAGAACTGTGAAGGCTTTTTTACATGTCGTTTGGCAAACTCTAATCTGGCCTTCCTGTTTTTGAGGCTCACTAATGGTTCCCATCTTGTGGTGAACCCTCTGTATTCACTCTGGTGAAGTCTTCTCTTGATTGGTGACTTTGATACGCATACACCTACCTCCTGGAGAGTGTTCTTGATCTGGCCAACTGTTGTGAAGGGTGTTTTCTTCACCAGGGAAAGAATTCTTCGCTCATCCACCACAGTTGTTTTCCGTGGTCTTCCGGGTCTGTTGGTGTTGCTGAGCTCACCGGTGCGTTCCTTCTTTTTAAGAATGTTCCAAAACTGTTGTTTTGGCCACACCTAAAGTTTTTGCTATCTCTCTGATGGGTTTGTTTTGTTTTTTCAGCCTAAGGATGGCTTGATTCACTGATAGTGACAGCTCTTTGGATCTCATCTTGAGAGTTGACAGCAACAGATTCCAAATGCAAATAGCACACTTGAAATGAACTCTGGACCTTTTATCTGCTCATTGTAATTGGGATAATGGGGGAATAACACACACCTGGCCATGGAACAGCTGAGAAGCCAATTGTCCCATTACTTTTGGTCCCTTAACAAGTGGGAGGCACATATGCATACTGTTTTGTAATTCCTATAACGTTCACCTGATTTGGATGTAAATACCCTCAAATTAGAGCTGACAGTCTGCAGTTAAAGCACATCTTGTTCGTTTTATTTCAAATCCATTGTGGTGGTGTATAGAGCCAAAAATGTTAGAATTGTGTCGATGTCCCAATATTTATGGACCTGACTGTAAATCCAATAGAACATCTTTGGAGGGAGCTGAAACTCCATGTTGCTCCGCGACAGCCTTGAAACCTGACAGATCTAGGAGATCTGTTTGGAGGAGTGGGCCAAAATCCCTGTTGCAGTGTGTGCAAACCTGGACAAAAACTACAGGAAACGTTTGACCTCTTGCAAGCCTTCTGTACCAAATAAACACAGATTTTCTCAGGTGTTCAAATACTTATGTTCAGCAGTGCAAGACAAATATATTCTTTAAAAAACATACAATGTGATTTCCTGAATTATTTTTTTTAAATGCTGTCCCTCAGAGTGGGAATGCACCTACAATGTGAATTTCAGACCCCTCCATGATTTCTAAGTGGGAGAACTTGCAAAATCGCAGGGTGTTCAAATACTTCTGTTCCTCACTGTATAACTAATGATTATACGGTTACATAACATTTACAATTTGCACAATGTAGATAACATATACATTACAGTGCCTTTGGCTAACCCCAATTAGCTAACACAAATTACAATGCCATATATCCATCTCCAGTACAGAATACCCAATGCATTTCGACTATAACAGTCTTCATCAGGGGAAACGGGAAAGATACAATTACCATTGAGATGTAGAAACCATATTCACTGTCTAAATGAGTTGCCCCAGGGAACTCAGGTTTTCACCTGGATGGCCCGGGCCCCCAAAGAGCCAACATGAAATAGGCATAACTGGCCGCACATGTCCACAGCACACCCTCCACTGATATTTATTTAAGGTCTCAAAACAGAAAAGAGAGGACCATATACAGAAGATAATGTGCCCAAGGATTATATGTGAGATCTCATATCATAAACCACCTTACAGGGTACACAGCAGATTGCTTTTAAAGTTTCCCAGACAGAAATATGATGAATTTAATTTAACAAATGAATAACCCCCTAATATACAGATACCTATAGCCAATACATGTGCTCTGGGCATTACAGGGGGGGAAATGTGAACACAAATCATTTTCTTACTCTAGAGAAGGGGGTCTCCAAACTTTCTAAACAAAGGTCCAGTTTACTGTGCTTCAGACTTTCAGGGGGCTGGTCTGTGGCCAGTAGGAGTAGAAAATGTCCTGGCATCCGTGAAAGCAAACAATGTCCCATCTTTGGTATTAGGGGAAATATTAGTATCCCATTGATGGTGTCAGTGGGAGAAATAGTGCTCAATCATTGATGCAAGTGGAAGGATTAGTACCCCATCATTGTCAGTAGGAAGAATAGTGCCCCACCATTGGTGTCAGAGGGAGGAATTGTGCCCTATCATTGGTGTCAGTGGGAGGAATAGTGCCTCACTGTCGGTGTCAGTGCAGAAGTTATTGCCCCATTTTTGGTGTCCGTGGGAGGAATAGTACCTCAAGGGTCAGATAAAGTTTGGACTGCTGCTCTAGAGCAATAAGCAGAAAATAAAAAAAAAAAAAATAAACAAATACTATAGCAAATATAAAAATTGTATCACATAATTTGCAACATACCATAACAAGGCAGATCTTCGCCCCGTTTGCAAAAAAAACTAAAAGTAATCAGCTGCAAATACTGTAGCTGTTCCGGGTCCAGGCACCTGCATGTTTACTGTTAGTGGCCGGTTGTGATATCTTGCACTCTAGTTTGTGAATGATCCTGCAGCCTTTTGGGACCTGTGATGTGTCCCTGAAGGTGGGCAAGGGGGGGGGGTTGCATGCAATTTAATTTTTCTGCAAATCCCCTGTGGCGATCCAACTGGAAGTGGTAGAGGGTACCTGTCAAAACCAGGTACCAGATCCCCCCCCAAAAAATTGTAAAAAGAAGAAGGTGGGGTGGGGGGCATAAAGCAGAACTTCCCCTTTAGGGTGAAGTTACTCTGTAATAACTCAGATGGATGCAGTGACATTTCAGAACAGGAGAGAAGCCTGTACAACAATTCTGTTTCAATATTTTTATTAAGAGTTTTGTTTTAAGAATAACACAAGCTCAAGATACACCCACTCAGGGGCAGAGTAGAACAACTGTACAACAATTCTAAGACTGAAAATAAAGCTGGAGTTAAGCTTTAAATGCATTCCTTGCTTTTTCCTTGCTAAGCTAGTCAGGATGTTAGTCTCAATTCACTATACAGTCGTAAATTTGGGTTCAAGTGGAATTCTCTTTTTTTCAGTGTTGTCGGAGTTTGTTGCTGTATGCCAGCTTCTTCATAATTGTATATTTCTGGTTGTTGGAGTAGAGTCTGCCATGCAGAACAGATTTTCTGCTGCTGAGACAGCAGGGTTGACCAGTTATTTGCTATTTACAGCACGACTAAACCCACTATTTTAACAGGGTGGGGATCGATGGAGGAGGATTTCAGCTAACAGAATAGATATCAGCACAAGGAACACATCATGCTAACCAAGTATTGTCTCTGGTGCTGTGGGGTTTTTTTTGACTGAACTCGGGCTTTAACTGTAAATTTAAATAAATTGATAACTTGAAAAGCTCCTTGCAAGCTACCAAATTGAAAATCTCAATAGTGGCAGTAACTCTGAGAGGAAGAAGGGAGATACATTGACAGGACAACACAAACATTTCCATTTAATTTCCAAATTAATAACTTTTATCCAGTGAAATAAAAATAGAACATGTTTATCCCTGGCTAGTAAGGCCCATGAGACCAACTTTAAACTCCTCACCAGGTGGTAGGAGTGCCCTACCCTTCTTCACCGTTTATATCCCTCAGTGTCGGATCTGTGTTGGCGTTGCCAACTTAGCCAAGGGTTTGCTTTTGCAGTTTTTGGGATCTGATTCTTCAAATATATGCCAAAATTGTGGACACGATCATTCCAAATTCACCACAGGTGGTTCTGTTGTCCATGCTACTCACGGAATCCCTCTGGCAGAGGCATTGGGAACATATGATCAATGTCTTCAAACCTGGATCTCTTGGAAGAGGTTTAGGGAGTCACAAGAATTACAGGATCTTCTCGCAGTGTGATGTCTTGTCCAGGTAGATGTCTCCTTGTTAGGCTGTGCCCCAGCCTCCCACGCCCCCCGGTTATCATCCCCTGGCTTATTTCCCCGTTCCCTTTCCCCTAACTTTTTTTTTTCTTGAAGCTCCAAGTCTGCAGGGTTATGCTCCTATAGTGTGGGCTTTGGAGCTTACTCAAGTTAGTCCTCAAATTAGCTACAGTATGTATATTGCAGATCAGTGGTTCTGTCACACATTTGATCATGACCGCTATCATACTAGTGCCTTACCCTGTATTTGAATACCCTATGGTGCTGTGCACAGTGGATAACCAGACTGTTATTTCAATTGTTCTTCTTTGCTTCTAGTTTTGTTATAAAAATTATTTTATATAAAAACAGATTGAACATAAAAATATAACATACGTAGAATAAGAGAAAAACTTACCAATAATTCTACGCCAAACCATATACCAGTGACAGTTCTTTCTGGCAACAGTGGTCCCCTATATCGCACAACGCCCGGATAGTGCCCATCTCCCGGCCTCATATACACCCTTACAGCAGAGCCAGCCTCGATCTGTAAAGCTTTAGATAGTCTTACTTTATTCTTGAACAGGCTGTATCTCTCCTCACAGTTTGTAATGGCCAAAAGCAATTCAGCCAACTTTTCTGTGATCTCAATAACATCCTTTTCATCCACGAACAGAAGGGCATGAGGTTGTTCTAAGATTTTTAGTGCAATTTGGACTTTTTTGCTCTTGGAAGGAATACTCCGACTATGTGCTACTGCAGAACGCTCTTGGACAAACTGGCCAATGCTTCCCCTGGGGATCTTAATCTGCTTCTGGGTCTGTTTGTCAACCAAACTGCATTCTTGAACCAAACAAATAAAAGATGCGCTCTTCCCAGTAGGTGGAGCTGCTTTTTTCTTGTCCCCAGAGGTTTGAACTCATGGTGATAAGATGGGCTTTGACTGAGTTCCTTCAGTAAGTCCTTGAATCAGATGATCTTTTATGCCCAAGAATGTAGAGAGGGCAGCTCCATGTTTTGGACAATGAATCAAAACAACCTAGAGGAAAATTTACACTGTGAAGTATAGCTAACAAAAAAGTTTAAGTGTACACACCTCACTCACTTATATATGGACATTAACAAATCTAGGTCTATGGAGAACCAGAAACAACCATTATGAAATCTTTGAGAAACATAGCAATCCATCAAAAAAAAAAAAAAACTACTAGGACTTTAAAAAGGTACCACACCAGAGGATAATAAAAAAAAACCTTACATATTTATTGTACAAAACATTAAGGCTCCATGCACACTAGCGTCTTTTTTATGAGCTAAAAAAATGCTAGAAAAAAATGCTGGATGAAAAACACTGATAATAGCATTTTTGTGCCAGCTAGTAGTAGCATTTTACAACCTGAAAAAAAAGCTGTTAGGAGCATTTTAGTAGCATTTAGAAGCAATCAGCATTTTTTTCTACAGGAAAAATGCTCCCAAAAACAATTTTGTTTTCCTGCTGCTAAATGTTGAAGATTGAAAAACACTTCTAGCATTAATAGTGTGCATGGATACATAGGATAACACTAGCTTCTAGCGATAATCACAAGTTGGTCATACGAAATATTTCATATACACATCTCCAACCAGTTTCGCAGGACAAAGCCAGCTTCTTCAGAGAGGACTGGCATATAGCTCTAAAGTTGTAAGCAAAGCCACAGTGAGCATCAATATGTACAAAATCAAATGCATCATATAAGCAATACAATACATATACCAGTATACACATTACCTGCTAAAAGAGCTCACATCACATGTAGCTTGTTCCCAGAGTTAGAACACCGAAGTTGCTACACAAGAATGGGGCTCAGCCATTTGATAACTGAAGATTGTACGTATAGAACATGAAAAGTAGCAAACCATTGCCCTATAAAGATAGTAATGGTAAATGGTAAGAAAAAACAAAAACATCAAAAAAATTGATGTGAAATAGTAAAGAAGCAAGGAAAACCTAAATAACAATTATATTTCGAATATATACAGTATTAATATTTGGGGTCTCCAAAACATAAGGATCCCCCTCGGGCATTGGACTATGAACTACTGAAATAGCATATATACTAATTCACACCTGTAATGGCTGTTTATTATCCTCTGGTGTGGTACCTGTAAAGTCCAAGTATTTTTTCGTTGTTGAGGGACTGCTTTGTTTCTCAGTGTCCTGCAATACAGGATGCGGTAAAGGCTTTGGAACAAGTTGAGACTATTTTGTTTGGTCTCTTCTTCAATTTCTCTAGTATATTGTACATTACACAACTTTTCCATACTAAACAAATAACTCACGCTACTATACACAAAACAGTTTTTGACCAAAATAATTGTACCAACTAAACAAATAAATTTGTGCCAAAGAATGCTGCTGCTCAAAAGTGAAATACATTAACACATAGCAATAATTACTAATAAACACAGCGCATTACAAAATAAAGTCCTTATTTTTACCGCTCCATGCTCATGTGCTCCAATAACAGTGTCATGTGCTCTGAAGAAAAATCCAAAATGAATATCCTGTGCCTTGAAACAAATTTCATCCATGTAGTTCTCAGTGATCCCTCCCCTCCACACTCACCAGATATGGTGGACTCCTAGCTTTATGGGCTTAAGAGGCAAAAACACTTTTTCTGGTGAGATGTGCTCACAGATATTTCCAGAATTCAATGGAGTACCGGACCCATGGTTGTAATGTGAAAGGTTCGAAGTGCCTGCAAAAACATAAGTGAAGCTCAGCGGAAGACCATACCGGTGATCTTTTTAGGGGAAAAAGGCCAAGCTGTTCCACAAAATACGTGATTACCTTTCTGATATGCAGAAAGCTACAAAACATGAAAAGCAGCTCATATACAGTAGACAAGAAAATGGTAAATGAAATACACTGACGGATTGAACCTCTCACATTACAACCATGGGTCCGGTACTCCATTGAATTCTGGAAATATCTGTGAACACATCCTACCAGAAAAAAGTGTTTTTGACTCTGAAGCCCATAAAACTAGGAGTCCACTATATCTGGTGAGCGTGGAGTACACAGGGGAGGGAGCACTGAGAACTAAGCGGTTGAAATTTGTTTCAAGACACGGGATATTCATTTTGTATTTTTCTTCAGAGCACATGACACTGTTATTGGAGCACATGAGCACAAAGCACTAGATATAAGGACTTTATTTTGTAATGCGCTGTGTTTACTAGTAATTAAAACTTTTCCATACTATCTGACTCTTAAAGTGATACTAAAAGCTTAATGTAAAAGAAAAAATAATAATAACAAACCATGTTATACTTACCCGCTCTGTGCAAAGACAGAGCTGCCCCAATTCTCCTTCTTGGGTCCCCCACTGGGTCCCCCCTGAGTGCCCCCATAGCAAGCCGCTTGCTATGGGGGCACTAGTGCATGCTCTCTCCCGAACCCTGCTCTGTATGCCCATATGACACACAGAATGGGGCTCAGCCCCGCCTCACTCCTTCCTCACTGGCTGTAATTGACAGCAGTGGGAGCCAATGGCTTCTGCTGCTTCCTTTGAGTCAATTAGAAGGCAGAGAGCCAGGAAAGCAGCCACTTTTGGGCACATCGCTGGATCAGGATTGTGCTCATGTAAGTATTAGGAAGGGCTATGGGGGGAGCTGCATACTGAATGTTTTTTACCTTCATGCATAGAATGCATAAAGGTAAAAAACCTTTAAGCTTTACAACTACTTTAAGATATGCCAGTACTATATATCCATGAATGCCCTGTAGCTAAAGGTAAATTAGCACTACAATAAAATTGCCAACAGGCAAAGCAGTGGCGAGAAAGTTAACACTTTCAATACTGGATTAATCATCACAAAAACAATATCTGCATTTAGTTTGTATGATATCCCAGTTTTTATAGAGTTCTATAGTCTCTGCACAACTTATGAACATTTTAATAATTTGCTTCCACCCTTAAGAGGTGTATTTGTGCAATTCTTCTAATAAATATTAGATTATATTAGCTTTTAAATTTCTAAGTAGGAAGAGATCAGTGTAAATATTTTGCACAAGTAATCTGTCAGAGTCAAACAAAACAATATAGGAACTAAAAGGTGGGTTGACTATTGAAAGTCTATTAATTCATGGGTGGGCAGTGGCTCAGGTAGCATTGTCTCTTTGCATGCACCTACTTCAGGCACTGCTGACATAATGACATCAGCACTGCCTGCTGAGAAGAAAATGACAAAACATTTACGGGTGAAGTGTTTGCTGTTACTAGTCACCCTGCGAAGACAGAACCACCTGGGGTGACCGGTCTTCTACAAAGGATATATGCTCTCTGGCCTATTGTGAAGGCTTGATTTTAAGCATTACAGGATATGGACACAAACCAGGAGTTTTAGGACAAGCTAAGACAATTGCTGCAGCATCTATTAGCAGTGTTCATTTTCACTTCAAATTTAGTTTTAATCAGTCTTTTAACTGAAATACCTTTTTTTAGTTTTAATCAACTGAATTGAAACTGAATTTTTATTTTCGTTTAGTTTTCAGCACTGAAAACATTTTGAAATTCTGAAAATATCTGACAACTAAGTTAAAGGAAAAGTACAGCTAATGTTCGTATGGCTGTACTTCTGTAAATAAAAGTGCAGCGCTAGAAAATAACAAAAAATCAAAAATCAAAGCACATAGAGTCAATAAAAATAAGTCCACAAAAAAGGGGGGGGGGGGGGGGAGGGAGGGGAAAGGCCCTAGGCCAAAAAAAGTCTCAAAAAAGAAGGACGACTTCAAATGCCCATACACACTGATCAGAGGTGTATGCACTGTGGTAGAGATGGAGTTGAAGATGTAGTCAGGGAACAGAGGTAGATGTAATCCCCGGATCAATGAAGATCCCCAGATCAAGGAAGCACACGTTCCACAAGACAGCAAGGAAGCAGTCACAGCTCCACCAAAGAATACCACCACTCCTTCACTTCATATCAGCGGCATCTAGGAGGAGATACTCAGCACATGGGTTCTAATCCCAGTCATGGCTGCACCTGTCTGCATCTCAGGTTGCATGCTTTCTCTGCACGGGTGTGTTTCTGCCAACACTCCAAAAGACATGACTTTGGAGTGTTGGCAGAAACACACCCGTTTACATTTATGTGAGGAACTCTTTTGGTTGTCCTATGTGTTTCAGCTGCTCGTCCTTTAAAGCGCTCACTCATTTTCATTGATTTGAACTTCTCCTGTGGCTCAAAGGAGTGCAATTCGGTCTGCACTCCTATAATGTTTTCAGATGACAGTGGGCTAAAGTCCACTGACAGCTGACGTCACTCAGCCAGTCCAGGATGGTGAAAGATCCCGACTAAATGTTCGGGATCTACCCAGGAGCCTGGGCTGGCACCTGGCTCAGCCTCTCAGTGAGCTGAAGGGGGGCAGAAAAGAGAGCTTGAGACTGACGATACCGGCTCTCTGCTCAGAATGGCACAGAGAACTGAGCAATCAGCAGTGTATGATTGCTCACTTTGCACCTTTAGAATTGGAGAGGGACATCGGACATACAGCGTAGGATCCAAAATTAAAAAAAAAAAAACACTTCTCTTTTAACACGGTCTATTAGTCTGTGCGTAACAAACTGTAAATTTTCCCACTCAACTTAAAGAAAACAAAAATAAAGAAAATGCAGTCTCAGCAGCTTTATTCCATCAGTCACAGTAACGGAGAACTATAACCACCATTTAATGCAAAATATATATTTATAGATAACTAGGCTGCATATCTGGATATAGCTAAAGCATTTATCATGTGAAAGCCAAGGCTTCTGTGGATATATAGTAGATGACCATAGAAAATACAGAAAACATTAGCCCTTTCGTTTACTTTGAAAACAAACTGCTCTTTATGATAATGCTTCCCTTATCTCTACCTACGCAGCAACCTTCAGACCAT